GTTATATTACTGAAGTTACTGAGGAGGTAAATTAGCACAATAGAGAAGCATAAGATAAGAAATGTAACAGTGGCCTTTTATTTAAAGAATGTGGAGAGGAGCCCATAGCCACCAAGGCTTTGGCTTTTTTTTTTTTCTGACTGACTGTGGGGTTATGGGGTATATGTGAATTTTGACTGGATTGTAGTGCTTGGAGGGGACATTGATGTAATGCAAGAGGGTGATGGGAATTTTCTTTATGCCCTGGGAAAGAAAGAGGAAGTTGTAATCAAGGAAAAACCTGGAATTGGCATATGGGTAAGAATCCCTGATTTCACCTTCTTGCACCTTGAACTACCACCATGAGGTCTTGTAATTGTTTCTAGGGCAAAACTCAAGTACACCATTTGGTTTGAATGAAGAAATCAAAACAAAGAATTTTTGCTATCAGTCTTCCTCCATGGCTGGTGGTAAACCAATCATAAGAAATATTTTGTCATTTCATTAATGCATTTTAGATACCATAACCAAAATTACAGATCAGTTCACTTCCAGAAAACAGAAGCATCACTTAAAGGCAGGGATAAAGCCCTTCAATGCAAGTATCCCTGGAAAGGTGAGATCAATATTATAGAATACAAACTACTACTGATTTCTCTGACTTCAAGAAAGAGAAAATTTTATACTGATATTGCTATAGGGGAATGAATCTTCCAGTCTACCATGTCTGATATGAGTTTGTGTTCTCTAAAGTCAAAGAATGAATTTTAGGAACAACAGAGATTAAGAAAAGAACATACTTATTGAGAAAAAGAAAGCAGCCTGAGAGAGAGAGAAGGGGCCCTGAACAGGTTGCCAAACACTGTCATTTCTAGGGACCTTAATAGGCTAAAATCATGTGGTGATATGAGTTTAAGGTGAGGAAAACTAGGAACTCACAATACAGAGGGGCATAAGATGGGACAGAGCTATGGTAGCCAATAAGATTATAAGTTCAGGTAAAGTTGATTAAATTGGGAACAAAGGGCAAGGGAGTCACATAGAAAGCTGGTATTCTTAGGCAGCTGTGAATGTGCCCTTAGGGGTTTGGGAGGGTGAGTCCTGAGTTCATCAGGATGATAGAATTATTTAGAATATCAGGCTTTAGGATAAGGATACATTTCTTTCAATGATGACTTCTGACTTCCTCAGAGTGCTATGGAACTATTTAGACTGTCAATCCTTAGAATATGGATGAATTTGCCTATCATTTGTCTTGAGCCTAGGACTATAGCATGATATATCTAACTTCCCCATAGTTGCAATTTAACTGGCCACCTGCATGGGCTCCTTGGAGAACCTAGCCCTGTCTCATTGCCAATAATATTTAAATAACTCGGCTGCCTGTAACAGTATTGTTTGGAAAATTGATTACAGATGTTTTATTCTCCAGGTGAATGATCTGGGGATGACAATATGCAATGTATATACCAGTGTTGCCCCCTGATTGACATGTTTTGAAATTTATTTTTAGTTGATTTGTCCTTTTTTCCTTGAAATACAATGGATTTGGAAATTAAAAGCATGAGGTAAAGATCTTCAGTACAACACTCCTCTGTTGAGCTGAGTTCACTACTATAGAAGAATGGCAGCTCTAGAAGTCTCTGCACTGCAGTCTATCATTTGGGATCCTCTCTTGCAGGGAGGGGATCCTTTCCCTGTTTATTCTTGAGTCAGAAGGAGGGCAGTAAAGCAGTAATTAATCAGTGATGAAGGGGTAGGTTATATGAACTGTCCAATCAGGCGGGCCATTGCTGGCTGTGACTTCTGTCTCTTCTGATGTTTCAGCATGATTTACCTGTTCTGAGTACAATACTGGTAGCAAAATGCTTGCTGGATGTCATTTAGTACTTTCAAAGTCCTATGGCCTGATTAGCAAAGAACCTGAGAGACCCTGGAGCCATGGAATGGTGAGGTTTTGGATGGGAGCCCAGAAATAATGTGGATTGGGCGAATCCAGTTACAAGTGTTTAGGAGTAGTTCCAGTGTCTGGAGACTCAGGTATTTAGTTAGCTTCAGCTCCTGACATTCTCCAACATTGTTCGTGGTCATTTACTGTCCCTTTGGCCTCTTGCTGTTAGCAAGGGTGATTTGTTGTCCCCAGAACCCTGGCTTTACTATGACAGCAGCAAACTCAAGTATCATCTTTGAAATTCACTGCTGGCCTGGAAACTCCAGCATCTTAGGCATTGGAAGGAGCTTGGGAAGACCCTGACTCTGATGCTTTTTATAGCTTGTAGAGCACTAATGAGCTAGGTCTCTGCTCTCATTCATGTGAGCAGCAGATCTCTAAGGTCCAAAGTTTATTAATGTCTATAATGAAGGGCCTCATAGCCCCAATGGCTCAACTTAAACTTAGGCTTTTTAGTATTTATAGTGATCACCTTAATTTGTAGTATGTCCTCATATTCCCATCCTCATGACAGGTAGTGGCAAAGTCCTGAGAATTGAGAGATGTGTAATAATGTGCCTCAATGGAGAAAGGCTTCCCAAATACCTGGTGAAATCCTGTGTATTATACAGAACAGTGCAAAATAATTTCTGAACATAATTATTTACGTGGCACACCTGCACAGAGACCAAGTTTGTGAGAACAGCTATAGAGTTTTGAAGTCTGAGAAAAATGAAGCAAATACGAATGTGTTATCAAGCACAGGGTAAAAATTTGCGAAGGACAAATTCTAGAAATGGCTACCTGTTAAATCTTCATTGAAAAATGCCTAAATTTAGGCATTTGCATGGACATATACACGTGATATCCTTCTGAATGGAAAGGAATATGGGTGTCATCTCTGAATTAACAGCTGATTTAATAGCTTGTTTGATCATAGACAGCTTAAATATGGAAATGCTCTGCAACAGACTTTACTAAGTTGTGTAAAGGAGAAGACCTAAATAGAAAATTTGCAGGGATATCAATAGTTAGGCATGAAGGGTTTTCTGCTTAGGATGGAAAAGAGGAGTGTAGAAAGGATGTGGAAGTGATTGGTATGCTGCAGGGTGTCAGCAACATTCCATACAACCAAGAGGGTCTTCACTAAAAGTCAGGGAGTTCTTAGAGCAGGTATGAGGTTAAAGTTGGCTTATGATTTCTTTCTTGGGGTAAATAACACCAGCTCTGGCAAAAATCAGTATTCCACATCCCTGTGAACCCATGAATTTTGTGTTCCATACTTGAGATCTAATTTTGATTATCTCTAATTATGCCCCATTGTCATGAAGGTGAAATTTGAATTTTTTTTAAACATGCATCGAACTCATGACCTAGGCTTGCCAGGCAGTCTTTCATGCCACTGAGATAAATACCCAGCTCTGAAAGTGTTTTCTGTATAGTATGGAAAATATCCACATTGTTCCTTAGAAAGTGTTGAATATTGTTGGAATTTTTCTCTATTGTATGGCTATAATTTTTTAAAACAAACCAAAGTTGAATTATGCAATCTCTTTTCAAGTTTCACTTTTTCTGTAGGGTGTATCAGTCAGGTTTTCTCTATTTTAGAAAGCCCTATAACTTAGGATAGCCCAAATTTAAGGAAGAACTCCTTCACCAGCCTCCCAAGATATATTTCTTATATCTGAATGGAAATTGATCACTTTTTCACACTAAGGTATAATTTACAGCTTGGTCCTCGTTTCATTTTATACACATTTTTTTTAAATACAGCTGTTTTCCACTAACATTTGAGTTATTATTTATGTACCATATTTGATGTTATTTATGTTTTGTCCTATGAAACCAAATTCAAATATCAAAGTGCTGCTTAAGTATATTCAGAACAAAGAACTCAGTGGCCTAAATCAGATTTCAAGAGACATCATCTGTAGTCTATTGAAAGGGTTGATGAGATATTTTTTCTTGTTTTTTAATTTTGAAAGTGGTAAAATACAACAGAACAAGACAGAATAAGGCCAACTAAGATCGTACAGTGAAATTGGTACAGAACTTCACAGCAGGTTACTAGGATAAATGTAATAGGTATCACAGTATATTTTATTATGTTTATAATAGTGGTTCTTTTTACCACATATATCAAAGTGAGATGAAATACAGAACATTATAGAACTTATCAAAACAGAATATTGAATAGAGCAGTACCATTAATAAGAATAGAGCAAAACAGTAATAAAAGTATTTGCCTTCACAGAGATAGTAGAAGGAAGTTCCCCTTTTGCTATGGTCAACTTCCCAGGAGACACTCAGATTTCTGGATACCATTTGCAAATGGGGGTATCAGAGAAGAGGGCTAGGGGAAGTGGGATGTTTGATTCTAGGCCGTGCATCAGTAGGTTCACTATTGCTTATCAGGGAGGCAGGCCGGTTGTTTGGTTTCACAATGTCCTAAGTTCCAACATGGTGCAGATCTCAGGAGCTGCTGCTGGTTCTCCCCCTGGAAGGGCTGCATGTGTCACACTGCCACTGCTTACCAGGGAGGGATGTGCTTCCTTGGCTTCCTAGTCTATTGATGAGATATTTATCTGCCGCTGTGCTTTGTAGATGCTGGTCCTGCAGGCTTCTCACTGTGAGCTCTGCTTTAGAGACAGTACACAGTGAATCTTGCAGTGACTCAGCACAAGAATCAGTGCTCCTATTTGGCTTTTAAAATTAAGATTGAGTTGCAATCTAGCATCAAATTTGCTGTCTCCAAAAATGTGTATATACACAAAATTAATGACCAAGATATGGATTTAAGATTTGAAGAAATCAGTCTCCATTCAGCTGTTTTGTTTGGTTTTATTTGTTTAGTTTTGTTTTGTTTTATTGAGACAAGCTTTCTGTATGTATATCAGCTGGATTTGAACACCCTATAGAGCCTAGAATTGACCTGACTTCACTGAACCCATCCTATCTTAGCCTTTTGAGTGCTGGGATTATAGCTATGCACCATCACACTTTGCTTTGATTAAGTTTTTTGAGGGAATTTAAGATATCCCAGACCTGGGGTCTCAACCTTCCTTTGAGAAATACATGTATGAACCTTTAGGAGGTGGTGACCTTTGAAGATGTGGCTGTGAACTTCAGCAATGAGGAGTGGACTTTGCTGAGTCCATCCCAAAAGAAGCTCTACAGAGATGTGATGGGTGAAACGTTTAGGAACATGGCGGCTATAGGTAAGGATGACATCTTTTTGTCACTCATACTATCAGAATATTGTTTGTTCCTCATCAGTGCTGTTTCATTAAAAAGAATGTGAAAATATTTTTGAAAAATAGATCATATCTGGTCACATTATATCATAAATCTAATCAAAATCTATTAATTTGTATGTATTACTCTAATGAGTCCTGGTCTTTCTATGTCTACAATTCAGGAGGACTTGGGGATGTCCAGGAAGCTGAAAATGAATGCAAAATTTACTGGAGATACTTAAGGTAATTCACACTCACAAGGAAAAGGAATGTTCCTGAGTAATTAGTGAGTAAGCAGAAAAATGACTGCCAAAGAAATGAGGCACCATTCAATTTAATGTCAGTAATATTCTCAAAAGATGTATAAGCTGGGGCATGTATAATGAGGCAACTAAGTCATGAAAATATATGATATTGCATATAGATGTGAATGAAAGGCATACACTTTGAGTTATGATGATATCCTGCCTTCAGTTTACCTACCCATATATACATGTGAATACAACACATTCATTATCTAAACATTGCTAAGATTGCTGTAGAATTTGAAGTAAAACTGAGTGCTCATGTTTCCAAGCAATGCTGCAGGGAATCAGCCACTCTGATTAAAATTCTTAGTAGGCTGGTGGAATGTTAAGTGCATTCATTCTGAACATCAGTATGCAGTTGTCTCTAGAAGTTGATCCCTCATACTTCTCCTTGATATAATTTTAAAATGCAAAATCTGCATAAAATACAGTTACATGCTTACTCATATACAAAGCAGATCAAGTAATAACAGATCAGGCCTTGAAGAAACTTAGTTATGTATCACTGGATTTGTGGAGAAGGAAAATTTTAATAGACTCTGTGTGATTGTGCATTCTTGTAAACACAGCACCCTAGGAATCAGATTTTTCAGAATGCCAAATTCAAGTTCAACTTAACACCTTAATGATCAGTGAAAATGTCTTAAAATAAATAAAAAAGCTAGAGATTTTATTCTAATACCTGTTGTTCATTACCAGCATGGAAAAGAAAAAAATGTGTTATATAATATCAAAAAACAAATAATATAATGTCATTTGCCATAAGAAATATGTGAGTATTTCTCCCGTCAATTCAGTGAAATAGCTCAGCTATAAAACCCAAAAGGTCACAGTGTTTCTTTTAGATGAGAAACCAAAATATAAATAGTGGAATGAAATGAAAGAGAGTTGATAGAGAAAGGTAAGCCTGACAATTTGGAGAAGGGAATTACAGGTTAAGGACAGAAGGGAGAATAGAATGGGGAAACATATCAGAATGATCAGTATGTGCTACACACATGTACCCATGCCCAAAGTGAAGCTAAATATTCTGCATTTCAAAAGGTACCAACTTTTAAGATTCCCAAATGTATACCACGGTTTTGGGAATGGTTGTTTTTAACATATCTTACAAGGCATTCCGTTGCTTCATTGTCAGAATTTCTTAGCAGGCATTAAAAACAGAACTTGACATTAATGCAGTCATTTATACAGAGACCCATTCCAATGTGATTTTTTTCTTTTTTTAATTTTATGTAAGGAAAGACTAAACAAAACAAAATAAGTAGAAATAATACTGTTTTCAAAGTGAAAATAAACAGTAAAAAATCACAAGATGGTGATTACATATGGAGCTCATACAAAGAGATAATCAAGTTACAAAAGTGAAACATATGAAGTGGGGATTCAAACAGCAAGACTGCAAACAGTTTTGTTCAACTCTCCAACAAAATGTTATTAATATGGTTATCAACCATATATGTGATTTTTTTCTTTACAGAAATGACAAGCTAGGGAAATCTTATGGACATACATCTTGGAATCACTGTAAAGAAGAATTCTGTTTTATTGCAGAAGGTAATGTGGGTGTGAAAGAAACAGAAACACACCACAATGTTCAGATCCATGAAAAATATTGCAATGGTGGGAAACCCAATTTATGTAAGCAGTGTGGGAAAGGTTTTACCACACATGGAATATGTAAGAAACATGAAAGAATTCACAGAGTAGAGAGACCTTACATATGTAACCAACATGGGAAAGCTTTTACAACATGTACATATTGTCAAGAACATGAAAATTTTCACTCTGGAGAAAAACATAATAAAAGTAAGCACTGTGAGAAAGCTTTCAGCACACATACTTATTGTGTAATTCATGAAAAACTTCAAACTGGGCAGAAATCATATATATATAGCAAACATGGGAATGCTTTCAGCAATAACATTAATTGTCAAATACATGGAAATATTCACGCTGGAATGAAAGCCTATGTATGTAAGCAATGTGGAAAAGGTTTCACCCAACGAGGAAATTGTGAGAAACATGAAAGAATTCACACTGGAGGGAAACCCTATGTATGTAAGGAATGTGGGAAAGGTTTTACCACACATGGAAGTTGTAAGAAACATGAAAGAATTCACACTGGAGAGAAACCCTATGTATGTAAGCAATGTGGGAAAGCTTTTACAACACATGGAGACTGTAAGAACCATGAAAGAATTCACAGTGGAGAGAAACCCTATGTATGTAAGCAATGTGGGAAAGCTTTTACCACACATGGACAGTGTAAGAAACATGAAAGAATTCACAGTGGAGAGAAACCCTATGTATGTAAACAATGTGGGAAAGCTTTTACCACACATGGAAGTTGTAAGAAACATGAAAGAATTCACACTGGAGAGAAACCCTATGTATGTAAGCTATGTGGGAAAGCTTTTACCACATGTGAATCTTGTAAGGATCATGAAAGAATTCACACTGGAGAGAAACCCTATGTATGTAAGCAATGTGGGAAAGCTTTTACAACACATGGATATTGTAAGAAGCATGAAAGAATTCACACTGGAGAGAAACCCTATGTATGTAAGCAATGTGGGAAAGTTTTTACCAGACATGAAGAATGTAAGGTACATGAAAGAATTCACACTGGAGAGAAACCCTATATATGTAAGCAATGTGGGAAAGCTTTTACTACACCTGGAGGTTGTAAGAACCATGAAAGAATTCACAGTGGAGAGAAGCCCTATGTATGTAGGCATTGTGGGAAACCTTTTACTACACATGGAGGTTGTAAGAAACATGAAAGAATTCACACTGGAGAGAAACCCTATGTATGTAGGCATTGTGGGAAAGCTTTTGCAACACATGGAGATTGTAAGAATCATGAAAGAATTCACACTGGAGAGAAACCCTATGTATGTAAGCAATGTGGAAAAGGTTTCACTGAACCTGGAAATTGTAAGAAACATGAAAGAATTCACACTGGAGAGAAACTCTATGTATTTAAGGAATGCAAGAAAGCTTTTACCATATCTTGAAAGTGTAAGCAACATTAAAGAATTCACACTGGAGAGAAACTCTATGTATGTAAGCAATGTGGGAAAGCTTTTATCACACATGGAGATTGTAAGGAATGTGAAAAAATTCACACTGGAGAGAAACCCTATGTATGTAAGCAATGTGGGAAAGGTTTTACAACACATGGATATTGTAAGCAACATGAAATAAGTCACACAGGAGAGAAACCCTATGTATGTTAGCAATGTGGAAAAGGCTTCACCCAATCTGGACATTGTAAATAATATGAAGAAATTCACACAGGAGACAAACCCTATGTATGTAAGCAATTTGGAAAAGATTTCACCCAACCTGGAAATTGTAAGCCACATGAAAGAATTCACACTGAAGAGAAAACCTATATGTAAGGAATATGGGAAAGCTTTTACCACATGTAGACAGTGTAAGCAACATGAAATAAGTCACATACGAGAGAGATCCTGTGTATGTCAACAGTGTTGAAAAGGTTTCACCCTATCTGGAAATCGTAAGTAACATGAAAGAATTCACACTAAAAAACCCTAAGTATGTAAACAATGTGGGAGAGCTTTTACCACATGTGCACAATGTCAGAGACATGAAAGTATTCACACTGGATAGAAACCCCTTGTATGGAAGCAATGTGAGAAAGCTTTTACCAACGTGAACATTGTAAGCAGCATGAAAGAATTCACACTGGAGAGAAACTATGTATATAAACAATGTGGGCCAACTTTTACCACATGTGGACAATGTAAGAGACATGAAAGAATTCACACTTGATAGAAACCTTAGGTATGTAAGCAAGTGCAAAAGCTTTTACCACACATTGGCAGTGTAAGAAACATGAAATAATTCACAATGGAGAGAAACCCTCTGTATGTAAGCAATGTGGGGAAGTTTTTACCCAACAGGACATTGTAAGCAACATGAAAGTTCACACTGAAGATAAACCCAGCGTATACAAACATTCTGAAAATGGTTTCAGCACTCTAACATATTGCATAATGCATGAAAAACTTCAAACGGGTCAGAACACTTAGATATGTAAGGAACGTGGGAAAGGTTTCACCAGAAACATTCATTGTCCAATACATGAAAAAATTCACATGGTTGAGAAACTCTATGCATGTAAGGAATGTGGAAGAGCTTTCACCACACATGGATATTGTAGAATACATCAATGACTTCACATTGGTGAGAAATCCTGTTATGTAAATAATCTGGCATAGCTCTTACCACATATAGTCATCGCAAAACACATCAAAGAATTCATACTGGGAAGAACCACTGGCTATGTAAGCAAGTGGAGACACTTTCAGCAGCCTGAGTGAAAGTGAAATACATGAAGAAACACACTGCAGATAAATCCAATGTTTTATGGGAATACTGTCAGCACACTGGATGATTGTTACATATCTAAAAGAGCTCACTGGGCAGAAATCCTATGTGGATTAACAATGCTAGCAATACAGTAGTCCATAGTTGGTTTTTTGTTTGTGTTTTTTTTTTTTTTTTCCTTTTTCATTTTTATTAGTACTGGGGATCGAACTCGCGACTGTTTTTGCAAGGCAGGTGCTTATGCCGCTGAGCTAAATCCCCAGCCCCCCATAGTTGTTTTTAAATACATAGAAAAGGCATCACTCATCAGACTCTTTAGATCTATGTTTACTTTAAAAATCCCAAGGAGACCTGAAGAAATAATCAATAGAGAATTTTGATGTCAATATTCCTTCACAAATTATCTAGAAATGACAAATATGATGTGGAGCTCTCAAGTACACATGTTGTACAGTTTTCAGTTAATCACTTGTACCTCTCTAGATTTTGTAGTGTCTTTGTGCTTCAACATGGCATCTTGTAATTAAATATGGTGAACTGAAATGTGCTTTTCACTTTCAAGCATGGATAGTGTCTATGTACTTAATGCTTGTCTTTAAAACTTAATTTTTATTTTTTTGGTGAATTGTAATGTTTTTTATTTAAAGCAAAAAATGGAAAAATGGGTAGAAATAATACAGAATTTCAGAAAAATAAATAGTAAGAAGTCACTAGATGATAAGTTACATATTGTCATCTTAGAAATAGTTGTTCAAGTTACAAAATTAAAGCATACCAAGTGACATTCAAATAGTGACACTATGTACATTTCACCTCAATGGTCCAACAAAAACTTAGTAATATGCTTATCTGTCCTACACATTTGTTTTTTTTAATCTTAAAGAGGTAAGATTAAACATGACAAAACAGAACAGAACAGTTCATAATAAAACAAGTTAAGGAAACACAGATTTCAAAGCAAGGCCACTGGAGATGTTCACTGTCTATCCTTCCAAATAGTTGTTCTGAGCATCACACACCTTGAATATATACTGAACATTATAGAACTAATCAAGTAAATACTGGATGATGAAGGCTTTTTCGGTCTTCAAGACCTGATATTGGGGAAATCAACAATGACTACCATACTGTTTTTCATTCACTTTGTAGTAGCTGTCTTTATCTCTATGTATGCTGAAACTGAACATAAGAGACTACACTAATATCACTATGAACAGTGAATAATAGTTTCCTGAGAAGGAGAAAGGTGAGGAATTGCCTAAAAAAAGAAGGCAGGGTACATTGTTAAAAGTGTAGATTTAAATGCTACAGTAGTCTTACTGCTCTGTTTAGTTTGATTATATTTTGTTTTGGTCTGTCTACTCATATTAGATTTGAGAGCACAGACAGATAACCCCAAAATAGCAGGTTATACCATGGTAACTATCCTTAATTTCCTATTAACTTAAACTGAAAGCCTGTATTACTTAAATTGTCTTACTATGACTGATCTTATTTCAAGCTGGTTTGTCTGAATGCTATTTTGCCTTGACTGATTTTATTCACATTTGATATATCAAGTTTAAGTGTAGAGGCAACTACTCTGATGTAACAATGTAAAGATATCCATTCCAGTTTTGATTATTAACTGCTTTCAAGTCCTACAATGTCTTCAAAGTTGTGTTTTTATAAAAATAGCAATGCAATGCTATGCTTAATAATATAAGGCCTGATGATGTGGACAATTCTTTTGAAAATAAGAAAAAACATAGTAACTACTGTACATCACCTTATATTGTCATCTTATATGTCTTTTTCATATCATGTTTTTCTAGGAATTTGTTTTGTTGTCTTGTGTTGATCTGTTTTTGCCCATAATACAGAAAAAAATAGATATACATGTCAAAATTCATGCATGGGAAAAAGTTCTAAACTATTTATGGAACAAATTATATAATACATGATGTAATGAACAGATACTCTGAAGAAGAGACACTAAGAAACCCAATGCTAATTCTGTAGCATTATGATATAAAATCGAGCAATACCAATATTCACTGTTCAGAGTGATAATAGTCTATTCTCTTATTTTTTTGGTGAGTTGTAATTTAAACACTGCATTTCCTTTAATCTTTTGATGCACATGCTTCATTTTCTCTTTCATAAATGGTGTTTCTGAAGTTGATGAAATATTTGGCATTATAATATACATTTTAGAGCCTTAGAGCATGTCTTTTTGACAAAGCTGTGTTCTTTTCACATAACTTGTACATTAATGAATGTTATGTTTTTCATGTTGTGATGACATACCTGCAGATTTCCTAACATCACTAGATATCATACCATGTACATTACATTACCTGATTTTCTTTCTCACTGGAGCCAATATTTGTCTTTTAAGTAAGCCTTTGTTTTCCTAAGGATCAGAATTTTACCTGTTATGTTTATATTACATCTTTATTTTGCTATTAAGTTTTCCCCACATGTATCAAAAGTAAACCATACCACTGTGAATTTCTGATTGCCCCAGACTGACAGAACCATAACTTGTCTCCAAAAGCAAATCACAAAATATATTAATATTTGAAGAAATTATAAAATGTGGTAGGATTTATGAGGAACCATACTTTGAAAGGAATTTTTCTTGTGGAGTTGTTTTGGGAAAATGGTTGTTACTTAATGTATGATGGAAATACCTTTATTTTATTACTTGTTGCTGTGAACACATTATATATTTTGTAATTATTACTGCTTTCCCCTAAAACACTGTTACTCACCTGTTGTGTAATCACCACTAAAACTATATCTATTTTGTACCTGAATTACCTGATATACTTCACAAAGTAAAAAGCACTGTAAAGTACATTGTTCGCCTCTGTGCACTACAGCATGTGGCCAGATTCCCTGCAGCACATTTCTGCTTATCATCAACAAGAAAATTTGGAGTTTGTATTTCTATTCCAGCTAATAATAGAATGCTGAATCTATAAGACATATATCCTGAGTACATGCACTTTTTCATTTTACAATGAAAATAAATCTTGGTGGTACTGTTGATGCCTGCTTGTAATCCTAGCACCTCAGAGGGCTTAAATTAGTGGAAGAGAATGTTGAGTCCAGCCTACACAACTTAGTGTGACCCTGTCTCAAAACATATCTTCAAGTTCTCCAGATATAGTTTAATGCTTCAGTATTCCTTTCCTCCCAGGTGTAACATTTTTAATACTCACAATTACACATCAGTAGTTGTCTTTTATCACTTGGCCACCTAGCAGTGATCCCCGAGCATCACTTGGGAAGCAGATTTATTTATGCAGTGACCATCCTGAGCATCACTGGGACAGTTGTCAATTTAACCCATTCATTCTTGTATTGAATACAGTAGAATTGTAATTTTTATATTCTTTGTTGTTTTATAAAAACTAACAAAATGTGGAGCTCAGGATTTAGCTCAGTGCTATAAGCACCTGCCTTGCAAGCAGGCAGTCATGAGTTCAATCCCCAGTACTAATAAAAAAAAAACTAACAAAAAGTATGCAATTTTTGATCATCTTGTATGTAAATAGTTGCATTGGTAAGGAGTTACCTACAAAGATCAGGCTAAATGTGATTTCTTTAGTCCCAGCATCAGGAGAGGATGAGATGGTATGATCATGGCTTTGAAGCTGACTGTGGTAGGCAACTGCTAGATGATTTAGCAGAGTGTGTGGCAGATGTTTTTATACCTGCATTTGAAGTTTGAGAAATAAGTAAGTTGAGGTCAAGTATATGAGTGTAGAATAGGATAAAAAATTTATTAGTGCAAATCATGATTTTTTTCCTCAGGAAATGTACTTATCATGGTAATTTGTGCATGAGTCTCAAATATGCTTGTATTAGAGTAAAGCATAGTGAGAGATGAATGAGCCAGGCATTCCATGTTCTAAATGTAGAGGGATTAAAACAAACTTTTTCTTAATGCTTTGCTGGTGTTTTGTGTAGAAATTAAGATACAGTGACAAAACAAGCAAAAAGGATTATATAAGATTTTAATACTCTTGCACAAACACAGAAGCCTGAAAAAATAGTCAAACAAAAAGGAATGAAGAAATAACCTACAGAATGAAAGAAATTTTGCCTGTTACTCCCTGACAGCTAGCATGTAAAACCACTGGGAAAGTGAAATTAATACACACTTTTCAGAATAGGTACAAATTGCCAAGAAATACCTGAAGAAATAGTGAACATTTTTGCTCAATAGAGAAATGCAAATAGGGACACTATCTCATTGCAGAGAGAACAAATCACCACAAGATCAAAAGAATGTTCTTGAGACTGCAGGAGAAAAGGAAATATTTATCCTTTTTGGTGGAAATGTAAGTAATTAGTTCAACCACTACTGAAATCAGTGTTCAAAGTATTCAAAAGACTAAATGTAGTAAGTCCATTCAGTGCAGTGCTTCCTTTCATGGGTCTCTGCCCCAAAGAGTTAAGGATATATTACATTGATTCATGCAGATTCCTGTTTACTGCAGCAATAGTCACTTTTTCTGTGGAGAGCAGCAGCAAGCACTGTTCTGTCAGCCACCAAATACCAATGATGAACAATTAATACGCATCAGTGTAATCCATTTAGTACATGATGTGATTTTTTTAATGAAATGGGCTCTAAGTTAGGTTTTCCTAGTAGACTACAGGTAAAAATACACATGATAATCATGGTAATGTAGCAAGGCCATCACTATTGTACTATTACATTCATTAGATTTGATCTATTTGTCTTTTTGAGGCAGCATGTTGCCATGAAGTTCAGGCTGGCTTTCAGATCACTTTGTAACCCTGAGTGATCTCAAAAAATTCTTCTGTGTAAGCCTCTCAAGTACTGGGGTTACGTGCATGTACCTTCAGGCCTGGTTTGATTTGGTATATTTGTCCTGGCCTGTGGGTAATTCCACGGAGACCCTAGAGGGTGAGTTGGGTTCAAAAGGAACATGAGACACAAGGACGGAGACCAGATGAAGAAGTCTGATCAAGTCTTGTTTATTCAAGGAAGGAGTATCAAATATATAGGGTATTGAGGGGGAAGGATTTGGGTTCTGAGATGTTAGCAGGTAACTTAGCAACAGTGGCAAGACTGAGGGGTATAGGTCAATTCAAATTTCCCACACAGAGTCTCATAAGGTCGGCTGATTAGCATAATCCCTTAATGAGCTAAACAAACTAGTTAGGCAAAATGCTGCTTAACTACCAAACTTAACTCCTAGTGGGAGTTAAGGTGGTGCAGCCTGCAGATATAAGCTGGCAGCCAATTACAGGGCTTCCTCCAGGTCCCCCTTTAAAATATAAGAGACTGCATCCTTGTGGAGACTGTACCTGTCTTGGGTCAGGTCACTTCCACAGTGGGGGCCAACCTAGCCTTACCCATCATTGGAAGGCAGGGCAGTGAGAGGCTCAATTCCTGTCTTAGCTTAATGTTGGCATCCCACATGAGGCCCAGTTACCTGTCTCTGGCTATCCAGGATTTTACACCCAAGCAAGATAGATGGAGTGGGCAGCATACTTTAACAAAGCATTATCATAATACAGTTTTGCAGACTCCACATCATTTTCTCTATCAGCCATTCTAAACCTGTGGTAATGGACCTGAACAGGTTGCATTTTTATGGCATCCACCTGTTGTTTGACAAAAGCCATCAACTTATTCTCAGAATCCCAAGAGACAGGATTCAGGCTGTCAGTTCCATCATCTGAAAAAATAAAGCTGCAAAAAAATCTCTCAGGGATAATTTTTTCCCCTGGAGTAATCTGTAACATTATCCTCTATTTGATGTATTTGTTTAACCAATCGTTGTGGCAGCCATCTCACAGATTTCATCTCTTTAGAGTAAATGCGTACTGATCCTCATATCCAGATAAGGACTGGGTCTGGACCATGCCATGAGTTAGTCAAGGGGTCTCTCTATAGTACAGAAGCAAATTGCTTTTGTATTTCAGTATGCCAAAAACAGGTGGCTGCTGATTGTCCAGTAGCATCCAGATTTTAAAATTAAGGCTGAATAAGGCATGAGATAGAATATTTTTAGGTGTCCCCCTTGTGGGGTACCATTGCCCCTTTTTTATTTTATCAACAGTGAGTTTTAGGCAGAGATGTGCCCTTTCAATGATGCGTTGACCTTGAGGGTTATAAGGTATGTCTTTATATGATGAATATTAAGATGTTGACAGAATGGGCAAAGGCAGAACTAGCATAGCCTGGACCATTATCAGTCTTTAACTGATGTGGGCATCGCAAAACTGATAAGGTAGTTAACATATGGCTAATAACATGTTTGGTAGCTTCACCAGTTTGGGGAGAGGCATAAATGAAACCACTAAAGATATCTATAGTTACATGAACATATTTAAGATTGCTGAACTCGGGAATATGGGTGACATCCATTTGCCATAATGCATTGGGGATAAGTCCTCTAGGATTAACCCCAAAGTGTGAACTGGTACGTGCATGGTACAAGAGGGGGCAATTTTTTTACTATCTTTCTGGCTTGTTCTCTAGTGATCTTGTGCATAAGACGGAGGGTTTGGGCATTGAGATGGTGTAATTGATGACTCTTTTGTGCTGAAGTAACATTGTTACCATGATCACTGGAGCTAACATTCGCTAAAGTACAAAGGAGAGTTTGTGGTCAAGTGGCCAGGGCTGCTGCATGATTACCATTGGCCAGAGATCCTGGTAACCCAGGGTGAGCATGTAGATGTCTGATAAAAACAGGGCAAGTTCTTTTTATAATAAGCAACTGTATTTGCCTAAACAGTTCTGCAGGGCTGGAGGCTGTTTTGATTTGGCCAGCTGTTTCTAGCAGGGTCACAGAGGATACAATATAAGTGCTGTCAGTATACAAATTCATGAATAATCTTAGTGCGTACTATTGTTATTCCAACCCACCATCAAGTGTGGCTCTAAGAATATACTGCTGCTGTGGACGCACAAGCTATAAATAATTTAGATTGCAATATTCCTATAGGAGCTACTGAATTATGCTGAGACAGGTTTTTCAGATATTTGCCAATAAGTTCATTGCCACCCACAGGCTATTATCCTCAAATGGCTCAAATTGCTTTAAAACCATGAAAAAGACTCCCTGAAGCAGTGGACACACAAGGTTCCTTTAGTACTATTAAACAGAAGGCCACTGAATCTTTTAATGACTTTATAGAAAGATTAAGTTAGGCTATTGAATGTCAGTTGAAAAACATGGCAGCAGCCTCTATCTTGGTAAAGCAATTAACATATGAAAATGCAAACCAAGACTACAAAAATGCTTTAAAAGATGTTTCTATGAATCCTGACACTGCTTTGGGATTCCCTGGTATGTTTTAGATGGTTCCTGCTACTTTTCATGATCCTTTACCTCCTGGGACAGCTGGCCTAGTTCTTTCCTGTTCACATGCATCAAAAAAGAGTCACTTTTGTGATTCCTGGTGTCACTGATGCTGATTATACTGGCATATTGTCAATTCAATTGTGATATCGCTTACCCATCCAACTAAATGTTTCTGAGTCTGTAGCCCAACTAATTGTCTTGCATTATGTCTCCTCAAAAACTTGTGATGTTACTCTTGGAAATCAAGGATTTGGCTGCACTGTGGTGGCTACTGCTATTTCCTGGGGAGATGCATGCCCAAGCCTCTCTTTAACTATTGACAATCTTTCCTTTTGAGGTTTGCTACACACTGAAGCTGATGACTATGTTTTATTCCACTCACCTGGAAATACTTTATTTCCCATTGTCAGTGCTATTTCCTCTCATCTTTTGAGGATGCACTCAAACACTTACATTCCTTGGAATTGATTTAATTGATATTGACTTACCACTTACCAAGGCTAACTTTTCCTTTTTACTGTCCTCTGCAAAATGCAGGGTTGGATATTTAGCTTAACCTGCATAATTACCTGCCTGCCTTGAAGCTTTCAGTCATGAGTTAGTACCCTGGTACAAAAAAAAAAAAAAAGGAAAGCCTCTGCAGGTCACTTTGGCTGAGTAAATTGGTTCCATTTCTTTCCATATGCCCCATAATCCTTATTTCTCTCAATTTACCCTACTTCCCTTTTCTCTTCAGTTTTTTTGATTTGTACCCTTTAAAGAGTGCCCTCATTATCTTCAGTGATGGACCCCCCATCATGAATCTGTGACATATTTTGTTTATAATACTTGGAAACACCTGTATTCACTACCACCAACCTCCTGTCAATGTAGTGAGCTGTCTCCTGTTCTTGCTTTGGAAGTTTTATGATCCGAAGTCCTTAACATAGTTACTGATTCTATATGTACATAGTGTTATCCTACACTAATCTTCTGTTGCTATCTCTCCTATGGCAATATATTCACAATTAGTGTCTCATTTTTACATCTACAGCCTACTCCTTGCCCTCTGCATGCCCCTCTTTTTCTTTTAGTTATATGTAGTCATGAACCCCTACCTGGTTTTTTATAAGATAATGCTATTTCTGATCAAGTATGGCAAATTCACTACCCTCTTTTTTTTGGGTAGCATCTTTGTGAGGCAGGTTCTCTCTATGCAGTTCAGGCTGGCCTTCGGCTCATTTTGTATTCTACCCTCTTTGAGATAACATTTAAAAAAGAACTGCGTTTTTTTCATCAATATGTTTGTTTCTTGCATAAATTTTTTCACATTCCACTTTCTGAAGCTAAAGCTTTTATTTCCACTGGTTTACATTGTGCTGCCATGCCTCACTCTTTTCCCTGTGATGCTGTCAACTCTCATGACCTCTGCTCCAACGAATCTTGGTAAACATGCCACACACTCTTCTTCCTTAAAACTTTTTTCATTTATTCATGTTTTTCACTTTACAGTGTCTTTTACTTCGTGAAGTATATCAGATACTCCAGATACAAAATAAACATAGTTTTAGAGGGGATTTCACAATAGGTGAGTAATTTATGAGTCCAAGCATAATTG